GGCCAAGTGTATTCATTTTTAATGGCATCTTGGGGGCCAAGGATGAAGGAACTGGCACTGAAGGGCAAATGGCTGATGACATTTGAGTTGTGCACATCAAGGGGATAAAGACGCTGGTAAATGAGGTGGAGTGCACATGGCCCGTCAGAGAGAGACTTGGCCCTATCACTCTCCAAAGACACATTTCTCCAGCCTCAGACATTGACTTTCCAAATCCCTTGCTTCCCAAGACCCTCTCCATCGCAGCCAGCCTTGAACAGCTGCTGCTGGGCCAGAACACTGTGACCTCTGGAGGGGAGGTGGGAGGAGGCCCCTCTCCACCCAACTTACGCGCTCAGGTAGACAGAGAAGAGGTCCTGAGAAACCAGGCCCTGGTTCCAGATGTTGTCAAAGACGGGTGTGGCCCCGGAGGAGGAAATGCTGGGGTAGGCCAGCCCCAGGATGCCGTCGAAGGGAGCATAATACAAGAAGGAGCCGGGTTCGGTCTCACTCAAGCCGAAGATCTGATTGGTGTCCGAGATGCCTCCAACCTGGGTGGGGGAACCGAGATGATATTCACCCTCAGGTCACGTTCACTGAGCTCTGGGTGCCAGCCTCAGGCCCACAGCTGCCCTGGTTCATCCCATGCAGGACTTGGCCGCCAGGGCGTCAGCCCGGAAGGAGGGGAGAGGGACTGTCTCCTGGAATGCTCATTCCTCTGCTGGAGGTAACCATGGCAGCTGATCTCCAGATGGCCACGGTCTATGACTCAGTGTGAGATTTTGCTGGAGAACAGATTCACTGTGTGTTTGTGTTACGGATGAACAAATGCAAAGCAGACCCCGGGCGAATCAGGGCCTTTGACCCCTGCCATGCCCCAAAAGTAGCAGAGAGGGCTTGTGGAGATTTCCTGATGTGGGGGGGGCTGCAGGTCGGGAGAAGGAGGAAGAGGAGGAGGTGCTAGCAGAGAATTGAGCCTTTACGGACTCTCCCCACCCTCCATAACATTCTGGTTGGGTGGAGCTGAGGCTGGCTTATGGCTCCCGGCAGCCCACCCTTTTACTCACTGCCACCTGAGCTAGCAACGTCTGTGACATCTCTGCTGCTTCTCCCCCAGCCCGCACCCCCAATCAGGTTACTTTTGTGATCACCGAGACTCATCGTGCTGGAATAAGCTGATTCTGGGGGTGCCTGATGGCAGGATTCAGCGGCAGCCTGCAGGCGCCCACCTTGACAGTGTCGTATCCGAGGATGCCTGTCATGCTGCCGGTGCCGTAGGTGATGGAGAGTGTCCCGCTGGTTGACTGGTAGGTGGAGGAATCCTGAGGGTTGAAGCGTTTGTGGTTGGCTGCAAGGGCAAGTGGTGATTGTCAGTCTCAGAGCTGGGTGAAGGTCACAGGCTGGGATGTCTTCCTGGGATGGGGTGCCCTGGCCCCAGGAAGGGCTCTGGAGGTGAGCAGTGACCTTTTCCCCTAGACCTTTGGACCCCAAGAGACCCCATGTTCTGTCCTGTCTCATTGAACTCCTGGGACCCTTCACTGATGGCAGGTCCCCAGGCAACCCCAAGGGCCTCCCGGGGACTCCCCAGGCCAACATTGAGCTGAGCAGGCTGGTGGCTGCCCAGTGATGAGCGCTTTCACCCCCCAGCCCCCGGCTGGTGCTCCCCTTATGATGTGGAAGAAGCTGGAGGCACCTCCTCTTAATTAAAACTCAGGTGAAAACATTAGAAGAGGAAGGAACCCGCAACACACATTGTTCATGACTTCCAAAGACAAGCTCTCTTTCATTAGCAAACAATGATTTTTCTTTTTTTTTAAACGAGCTCAGCACCCACCTCTAGCATGTCCTAGCGGGCTATTCTACAGCCCTTTGGCCTTGTCTTGCTTTGGGCCCCTACACATCCTCTCCCAGGCTGTGGTTATTTTGGGGAGCTTCTCTCTGCCCTCAGACTGGGACGTCTTTGACCACAGGGATCATATCATTCATCCCTTTACCCCGTGGAGCACCTGCGCCTAGTGCTTGGCACGTAGTAGGTGCTCAGTAAATGCCTGTTGAGTGGCCCCAGCAGGTTTGGGGGGAGGTGTCTGAAGCCCACGGGTGTCCAGGGTTCCCCAGGGTCAGCTGGTGCTGGGGATCGAGACTGGGGTGGGGCGGGCTGGGAACTTACTGCAGGCGAGACTGGAGCAGTAGACTGAGGGCACCCACAGGTTGGAGGATCCGGTGTCAAAGATCACGGTGAAATCCTGGGCAGGGGTTCCGATGCCGATAGTGCCGAAGTACTCCATCTGCCGAGGCCGGGACAGGGCAGTTCATGGACCGAGGTCTCTCTGTCGGGGCCTCCCTAAGGGCTCTCTCTGGGTCATCTCCTTGGTGTGCCTCTCTACCTCTTCATTCCCTCCTCACAGTTCTTGTCTTTCTCTTCCCAGCCACCGCCTTCATCCTTCAAAGCCCAGCCCTGGTATCCCTTCCTCCTTGAAGTCTTCCCTGATTGCTCCCCCAATTTATCCTCTGCTCTCTCCTAAGCACCACAAGCACCTAACAGTCTGCTGCTCCCTATTCAGCCATTGTCTCGGATGTCACAGTCTTCCCATCCTTACAGCACAGAGTATGGGGGTGGAACCTTCTAGCACCCGGCAAGTGACAGCTTAAGTGCTTGTGCCTTAAATTGTTTATCGGAAGCTAAGCAAGCCACCTAAAGATGGAAACCTGGCCGATTTTCTTATTTCTACATCTAGATGTGTACAGTAGGTTGCAAGAAAGGGCATTGCCAGTATTTTTCTTCTTCTTCTT